GAAAGAGGAAAGAAACACAGGTATGGTAAAAGGGTTATAAAAGTATGGCCAGTGTATATGAATTAAAAATAAGACTCATTATTAAGAGCTCAGTGTGGCTGAGCTGAAAATCAAGAAGGGATTGTACCACAAGATGAATGCAGATAAAGATGAAGAGATCAGTTGAGTATAAACAGATTAATGTGCACAGTACTGCAGCAAGAAGCAGTGAGAATCTGAGGACTGTAAATGCAAAGGGAAAATGCAGATTGTCTTCCTGTGGATTTGAGAACCAGAAAAAATTAAATGATGAACTGAAAGTCATAGAAAAATGTATTCATGGGGACTTCTGGCTATGCAAGGCATCTGGTAGCTGAATATTACATTTAAGCATGAATCATCCTGCAGATTCCCCACTTGCATAAAGGATAACTCAGAAAAGAGGACGTTTTACAGAAAGCAGTCCTTGCTTTCGTGCTTACCAGTTGAAGTTGTTTAGCACATGATTTTCATAGAAATTCAGGAGGACACCTCATCCATCTGCCTGCTCTGGGACAGGACTCGATATTTAGCCAGTCCCTAATGTGTTCTTATATAACAGACATTAGGGGTTGCCCGAACCCTGCAGCCCCAGCCACACCACCTCTGTTCCAGTGCTTGCAGAAAGGGAATTTGGCCAAAAGCAGCCCCAAAACTTCTTTACTGAAAAGAAAGTCAGTTATTTTTCTCATCCTTGGTGAAAATGGAGAATAGTTGGTCTCTGTGACTGCTTTTCCTGTTAACGGGTAGGGGTAGCATTTGGTAGTCTTCTTCCTTGAATTTAATCTTTTTCATTCCAGAGCCACAAAGTGGTTTCTCCCATTTAGCAACATCATTTTGAGTTCATACCCTGTTCTCCCCCAGGCTTGCTCTGTCCTGGTTTCAGACACAAACATGAGCAGCACGCTGGCTGTGCTGATGTTCTCTTTGCTCATGGAAAAGCTGAGGACCTGCATCCTGCATCCATTTCATGTTGTCCTAATCTGATGGAAAATCATTGATAGCTACTCTGAGAGGGATTTCCCAGTTGCCCACTATATGGGTATTTCATTTGGACCCTCTTTTCCTTGTGAAATATTAGAGACTAGAGTTAGGATATATCACATCCACAGCTGCTCTAGCTGTTACACCACTTACCCTATCGCCAAAGAATAAAAGTCTGGTTTGAGAGCATTTTTTACAATCCAAAATGGCTGTTTTGTAATCCTTATTCTCCTTTTGGTGCTTAGAAGGAATTATCCGATCAAGTATCTCTCTGGCTAGGGGGGAACATACCTGGGTTGTCCTAACCTGCCTTCTTAAAGGCAGTAGTGATGCTTGTCCTGCTTCTGCCCTTCACAAGGGAAGAGGTTTCAAAAACTACATTCAGTACTTGAAGGTGAACTTCATCAGGCTCTAATGATTTGAGCGCATTTGAGGTATCCAAATATTCTTTAAGCGGTTTTTGTCGCATTTCACCCATATTGCTACTGGTTCATTGTAATGGTGTTACTTACCTTGTTGCGATTTAGTTTTGTTAGTGAAAACAAACAAAAAGGACACAACTTTTCTGGCTTCTCTGGGTGAGCTTTTGTTTGCTTGTTTTCTAGTTTAAATAACAGATTTTCATTTTCCTTCCTCTTTCTCCAATATTGACAGCATTTCTAACACCTTTTCTTATTGCCTTTTGTATCCCCCTGCTAGCTGTAATTCATTTTGTGCCTTGGCTTTGCAGCCTCTATCGCTCTATGCTTGATCTGTTTGTTTATACTTGTCTTCAGAAATGCCACCTTATTTCCATTTGTGGTACAATTCCTTCCTGATTTGCAGCCCAGCCGCACAGGTCTCCTTCAATCGAGTCTTATTCTGAATTCATTTGTATCTGAGGTGCTTGCAGATTTATTCTTTTTAACTTGTTTTTGCTGTTTGCCGTGAGTTACCATTTATTATCAGACGTTTGAATTCCTTTTCTCCCTTTCTGTCTCAGAAAAGCTTCTGGCAGCTAATGGCCTAAACATCTCTGCATTGTATTTGACAAGTAGTATGTTAATCCTACTGACTGATACAGTTTTTCATGCTAGTATTTAAAAAAAAAAAAAAAATCATTTAGCTTATGTGATGCACGTGGCTGTGTACACACACAGGAAATATAGCTGCAGCATGCTGAAAATATTAAGGCATGATATTGCAGCAGTGTGGGACCCCTGCACAAGGGATGGTGAAACCTTTTCTGTCTTCCTTTTGTATTACTCCTTTAATAACTTTGCTGCTGCATTTGCTCTGCTCGCCTGTGCATGGCAGAATACAGCAGGTTTCTACCAGGAGTTGTCTAGAGATACTTGGGGCAGTCAGTGATACTACCAGAGGGCTCAGAAATATTCATGCTGCCTCTAGCACAGAATCAGACTTGCAGGACACAACTGTACGTGCTAACCTTGGCACGCAGGAGACAGGAACAACGTGCACAAGTCCTGTTCCTTGCACTGCTCCCGATGCTGGGTATGCTTTTGAGTCACCCTTGCCCATGAAATGGGCTTAACAAACCCTAGCTCCCTGGAGGCTGTTCGTGGCACCTGAGAAGTGACCCAGGTGAAAAGAAAAGTTGTGCAGGTGTGCAAAGCACTGGGAGGGCTGAAGATGAGGAGCTGGTCTGTGGCAGTACAGGGGAGGTACCAAACTGTTGCTTTGCCACTGCTGTAGAAGAAAAAGGGAACAAGAAATGGGTAGACCTTCCTGGCCTCATCGGAAGTTTGGGCTTCATATTTAGCTGCCCGGTTGGCCCCATGTTTAGCTGTCCAGTTAGCAGGCATGAAACGGGATCCCTGGGGATCTTCAGAGGAAGCAATGCCAGAGCACATGAGGGAATGTGGAGAGTAATTATGCTTCCTCTGGGCACTCTGTCGCATCTGAGTCCCTTATCTAAGTGTTCTCCATGTCTTGTTAGCAATAACTGAAGCCAGATTAAGGACCTGTGGTGTGAGCAACGGCCCGTTTTCCTGGTTTGTCAAGTGCAAACCTGGTTCCTGTGGTGCCCAAGCACTAGCAGCAACTCGGTACTGGAGCTAGTTGGAGCTAGGGATGAATTTATGGAGATTCCTTGTACCAACTGCGGGTGTGGTCTGTACTTTTGCTGAAAAGAGAAGGGAGAAATATTTAGGAAAATTCTTTGAACATTTGCTTTTTAAAGAAGCCAAATATAAGGGGGGGAAAAAAAAGCCTGCACTGCACTGAGAATACTGCAGAGCCACAGCCACTGAGGATGATTTATGGGAAGGTTGTGAATTTTGCTCTGTAATTGCAACTGGCACTGGAAGAGTACTGATTAAGAGCTCCTATATTCCCACGGGAAGGGCAGGGGAGGAGGGACAACAGGATACCTGCAGGGAGCTGAGCCCATGTAGCTGCAGGGGGAATCCAGGGGCTGCTAGCACAGCATAGGATGCATTTGCCACATAGGGAGACGCAAGGTAGCCTTTTGGATAATACGAAGTAGAGACGGGGTTTAGGGCTGCTCCTGGGTGCTGGCTGTGCCCTCCAGATTAAACTGTCCCATAAGAAAAAGCAAGGTCATTCCAGGTAATTGGTGCGGGAATGAACCCTGGGTCACTTCACTCCTGGGACAGCAAAGAAATGATTTAACACAGTGCAGGTGTCCGTGACATCCAGTGTCCAAGGGTTCGGTGTGGTGAGCATTTTAGTAGTTACGACTTGGAATGGATGTGTGGCTTTTCAGTGGAATGAGATCCCTGCAGTTCCTGCAGAATAAGCCTGTCATTACTGCATCTGCAGGGAGATGCATGCTCTGCTCCTAAATCCACAGGCTGTAGGGGTATCTGGGATCTGGGATTTTTATTCAGCTCACATCTGGTCAGCATAGAGTGATGTGCTGGGCTGGTGCACGTATGATAGCTGGGGGCAGGCCAAGCAAATAGGAGGTCCGTGCCATGAAGTGTTGACAGCCCCAACCTGTGAATGATTTAGGCTACTCAAGAAGAGTTCCCTGACTCTTCTTGAACTCTGGAGTTGTCTTTCCTGGTAGCATCTCCCTCCCCTCTCTGCCCTGGCTGCACAAATGTGCTCAATTAGGGTTAACTCAAACTGAATCAAACTTCATGCCTGAGGTTGGAAATCTTCCCAGTCAACTCACCACAGCCACATAGCATGGTGGGAGACAAGGCGAGAGGGAAGATGAATGCTTTTCAGAGAAACGAATCCAAGGAAACTTTGTTCACTTTTATTTCTGCAGGAGATGATCCCCCCAAAGCAGATTTCCCTGTTCAGAAAAAATCCCCGGTGAGTGTTACAGCTGGTTTCCTTTCCTTTTCTTTGCTTTCTGCTCAGCTTGCTCTAAACATTGCAAGATCTCTCTGTTCTTTCCTCTGTTGTGCTCTGGCTAGAGACAAACACCCTTTCTTGCAGAGAAATGCATAAGCATTAACAACTCAAGGCAAAAATCCCTCCGCTAACCTGATTAAGTTAAGAAAGGGCAGCTTAAAGGGAAAAAATGAACTGTCCGAATCTTTAGAAAACAGAGTAAGGGTTTTGATTGCTGCCTTTTTCTGAACACTGCTTTCCTTGTGGGAAAAGACTTACTTCTCTGAAGTGGAGGGAGATGTTGTGTGCGGGAGGGAGGGAGTTGGCCTGTGCATTTGCTTAGTATGAGACCCACCAGGGAAGGGTCCCCAGATGCTGCAGAGCAGAAGGAAGGACAGGGATTGAGCACAGGCCACTGATGTGTGTTACAGAGCTCAACTGTAGTGACAGAGCCTCAGGTTTACATCTTTGGACCTGATTTAGAGCCAGATTCAGCTGAATATTTTCTTGCATTGCAGCTTTGAAGTTTGTGCAGTTTTCAGGCTAATTCTTGTTGAGTGCTTGACCCCTAAAAACTGAACACTGTATTGACTTTGGGAAGAACAGGGCTTGTGTTGCACCTGCTTTGACTTGCAGGACAGTATGGTAATACTTGCTTTTAAAGCCTGCAGTCAGTCATGTCATTAGCAAGCCAACTCACAGTTTTAAGTACGGTTAACTGTTTGATATGCAGAGCTCCTGTGAAGTATTAATCTTAGTCCCATTTTGCAGCTAGTCAGCAAGAAGGAGAGGTGAAAACAAACATCTCCTGTCACTGGCACTTTAAATGACCTTTCTTTTTTCCGAAGACACAGACTATCAACTTCCACAGTATCTTTAAGAGCTCCATAATCCTGCAGATCCCAGGTTTACAGTGGTAGCTAAGCACAGCAGACTATCTGTGCGCTCATGAATCCAGGCTTAGCCTCTTTGCTTTCGCTGGGGCTCTCTGCTGAGCAAGGTCCTCCGCCGCGAAAGCAAGCAAACTGCATCTGGCTCTCCGCATGGATGAAAGCTGCCCACTTTTGGATGTCCAGGCAGGCCACAGGCAGGTCAGTGATACAGCGGAGAGAATACATGGGGTTTCTGCATGTGCTGATGCCATCTCGTGACATACAAGCCAGATGGAAGTACCCCTGCTTGTAAGTCGTTGCTCTGTGTTTGTAAGCACTTTCCCAGGGTCCTGGCTCAGGCGCTTGGGGAGGTTTACCTGGGAAGTCACTGCCTCCCGCTCTCCTTTCCCTGCTTGCCCCTGCTCATCTGTAGGAGGTGCCCATCCCAGAGCAGGAGTGGCTGAAATGGGTCACTGCCAGGTTTTCTGTCACTGCAGGTTGCAGCGTGGCATGTGATATCTTAAACTGCTGCAGCTAAATCCAGCAGGGCTTGTACATCGGGTGTGGAGGGGTGAGTTCAGGCAGCAGGGTTCCCGCCACCTGGCCATCTGCGTTTGAACAGTCACGCTCTGCATCTCCATCAAATGTTATTAAATCTCATGAGTACTGATAGCAAGGTCTGTGAAAGAGAGGAGGAAAAATATCCCTGTTATACAATTTTACTTTCAAGTTCAGAAAATGCTTCCAAGCAACCACAGGAGACATAATTTGCCTTTTATGGCTTTTCTTCTTTATTGTGAAAAACTTGTTGGAGAAAGGTATTCTGTGTGTGCATATGTATGTGTGTTTGTGCATTTACAGTTTACATATGCCACCATTTTTAGGCTAGTCTAAAAGCAGGAGGCCCCAGTGCGGTTTCCAAGGGAGCCCACTCTGTCTTACAAGCCATATGCTGAGCATGATGGTTTCAGAGTAAATAATAAATGAAATGGATAATTACATATTTACTCTAGTAAAGCAAAGAGGCCAAGGGTTTCTTAATAAAAAGGCAGCCCATAAATAATGAGAGAAAAACATATATAAAAAAGAACAAAAATATTTGTCTTTAGAGATGCTGGGTTAAGTAATGGAAAGAGGTTTTTGGTTTTTTTGGTTTTTTGGGTTTTTTTTATTGTGGACAGCCAGTCTCTTCTCTTTTGTTGCTCTTGTGTAATGTTGAACAAGGCAGCATCATTAAGCTAGACTCTTCTAAACTTGATGTCATTGCTTTGGGAATCCAAATAAGCTCAGGTCTTTTAGTGGTGAAATAAACCTGAATAAACAGATTTATTTTGGTGTCTGTAGTTGCATTTGGGACTCTGGGAAGGAATACAGGAATCCATTATTTCCTACATGAGGCACAGAAATGCATGTGAAGAGTTCATCTCACTTCACTGGCCCATACCATGGCTGTTTAAAACCACAAATATAAATGCAGCTGTTAATATCACTCTCCCCTCCATCCCTCACCGAGTGCCTGGCCAGCCCCTCTCTCCCTCTAATTGGCAGAGACTGGGCAGTGCTGTGAAAACCTGCATTCCCTGTTGCGAGGCGGTGGAGCTAAGCAGCTGGAAGCTGCTTAGCTTGGACCGCAGTGGAGTAGCAAGAGGGACGGAGGCCCGCGCAAGGTCATGCCAATACTCATCTATTTAAATGCCTTATATTTCACTTGGAAACTGTGGATTTTAGCTGGAGTAAAGTCAGATTCAGTGAAAGAGTGGCCACGCTCAGACAGGTTTGACAGTCCCATCGCTGTTTTGTTTAGTTTTGATTAATAAATTGAATTATCCATAGCTATGCCAGCGTTCTTGGAATATGAAATGGATGCCATGCCTGAGTGAGTGCTGGACATGGGGCTGACGCTCTGCTTCAGTGAACACGGTGGCACAGTTTGGTGCAAATGAGGTGCAGAGATTGAGGGAAGTTGTTGCACGGGAGGGAGCAGCTTCACACAAAAACAGACAGCAGTTTTGGGGCAGGGTAGTAGCTTTATGTGAAGTGTAGGAGAAAAGGCATCCAAAGGTAGGTTTTTGCATTGCAGCGGAGAGGTGGTAGGACCCTTCCACTGGAGCTCCTGGAGCTAAGAGCGTGGTGGGCTGCTGACAGCCCACGAATCCCTATGGCGGTCCTTATGGGACCATGTCAGCCAGGCTGATTCATTGGGGAGCCTTAACCAAAGCAAGATAGGTGTGGGGTCCCATTTCTCCTTTGAGTCCAACCCACAGGCTAGTCAAGCAGCAGTGGGCGCCTGGTTTTTGAACTGGACTCCTCTCTACTGCCCAGACACTGTGGCGATATGTTGCCGGGGTGAAGGCTTTCACAGAGCTGATATGTTCTAATTTGTCTCCTGCAGAAACTCTGTGGCTCCAACTACCCCCTAAGCATTGCCTTCATCGTGGTGAACGAGTTCTGCGAGCGCTTCTCCTACTATGGCATGAAGGGTATGTAGCCTGTGTCTGGGAAGCAGCTTTCCCATCCTTGGGTTTCTATACACACTGGCCTGGTGTTCCAGGGCTGTGCTGTATGTGGTCTCAGTTGTCTTTCAAAGTAAATTAGTGTTTGGGGATGCAGGTATGAACAGTGTGCCCTACCATTGATGCTACACCTGCTCTGAGCAGAAGTTGGGACTAGAGAGCTCCAAATGTACCTTCCAGTCTAAATTTTTACATGATTCTCTGTCTCAAACCCGGTTTTCCAGTGTGTGATGTCTTTCGTAGTTGTGTGCAATCAGCATATTTGGGAATGGAATCATACAGGCACCTAATTTGCAAATAGAAAATGTGCGTAAACAGAACTACAGGTTATGGTAAGATAAGCTAGAAAATATGTTTTCCAGCTAAACACAAATGTTTATGAGCAAAGAACACATGATACTCATATATCTCATTTTAGCTTTTCTTGTGTCAGGGATTATGAGGAACAGGTCTGAAAGCACAGATCTTTCCACAACAGTGCTCATAGCTGCTAGACAAATCAGTGGTTTTCTTGCCACCGTGATGTAGTTTCCTGCTTACCTGCAGAGATACACATTAATTATCTGATGTGATTTGCTTGTTTGCTTTTAGCTGTCCTGACACTATATTTCTTAAGCTTCTTCCACTGGGATGAGAATCTCTCCACCGCTGTGTACCATGCCTTTTCCGCGCTCTGTTATTTCACACCTGTCATTGGAGCCATCATGGCAGACTCATGGCTGGGGAAATACAAGTAAGTGGAAACATCTCTCTAATTCAGACAGCATACATCTACAGCATGCAGCCTGTGCAAGGGCAGTGCTGTGTGTGCTCCTAGTTTTGAGCTAACTCAGTGCAGCAAAGACACACTTGCGAAGGTCAGCTCCTCTCTGTTAACGGATGAACAGCTGATTTGTTTGCTTATGCTGTTCTCGGCACCTCTTTCGCCCAAGGGCCAAGAGGCAATAAAGTTGGAACAAATTAAATGTCACAAGCACACTTTTCCTCCACTGTCCTTCCCTACCCACCTTGAGGAAGCTGAGGTGTAGGGTGATTAACCCTCAGCTTGCCAAGATCTGCTTCTGAGAAGGATTCAAAGATGTGAGGAAGCGGCGTCATCCTCTAGATCTTGCAGTTTCAGGTGAAATGTCGCTAACTATACTATATTTATGCTTTCACAGCGTAGGGAATGTGTGAGCACACCCATTTTTATGCCAGAGAAATCTGGGTTCACTCAAATCATCTTCCTCAGCACATAACCAGGTAAACTCTTCCTCAGTAAGTTAGGCAATCTCCCCTTACACTGGTAAGTTGTGGGGCCATCATCGGCCTCAGAGTGGTGGTGAGCAGCTGGATATAGGACTTTCTTTGCTTGGCACTGTTTGTTCATTGTCTGAGGAGTCTTGGCTGTCAGAGTGATGAAGTGTAGCCGAACCCTGTTCTCTAAGACTAAGCACATCTGGCAGAAGAGTCTCAACAGGAAAAGAACAGCTGCCATATACCTTTCCAGCAGAGAGTTCTTAAGGAGATACCAATGTTCTTTTTTCTTTGTGCTTGATTTTAGTAATTCTCTTGCGCCTTTGAATGAAAAAAATACAGTGGGGGTTTATTAACTTCTTTATTTAAGGTCACCTAGCAACGTTCATTGGTATTTGAGGATATCTATCTTGCAGCATGATGTTGTGAGAAGGTAAATCCTTATGCAGACTTTTGTACATTAGGCAGGAGACTTTCCCTGGAGTAATCCCTATGACTTAACAGGAGGTGGCTTTTGCTGTAGTAGCTGGACCTTGGCCAATACAGAGGACAGGATAACAGATTAGAGAGGCTTTTAGGAATGACTTGATGTGGCTCTAAATTAGCTGTTGCAACCAGGGTTTGGATGCGTCGAGGACTGCTTCCATGCTCAAAGCTCATAGGGCTTCTTCTAGTGCCTCTGTCCTAACAAGTCCTTCCATTCCCTCTGTGTGTCTCGTCTGCACATAAATACATAGACATCTCTTAATCCTGAAGGTGATGAAGGAATAGAATACACTCAAAAGCCTGATCCTCCTAGTCAGATTTCTTCTTCTCACCAAGACATGGGAGGCAGATAGATGAGCTCAGTCCCTCAGAGGTACTTGGGATCTAAAACAGACTTGTAATGGGGAAACCACACTCCTGATTCAGATGTGTTAGTCAGGTGGGTTGAATGTAGGCAATGGTCCCTATAGATGCCTTCCAGTCAAGGGATTCACTTAGGCACGTGCTACAAAATGCCAGTTATTAGTAATCTGGAAACTGACTTGGACCTGAACAGTACTCTTCTATTTGCACTCTTCCATGCATGACAAGACTGGAACATTTTTAGTTCATTCTGCTCAGCAACCTCTGCAAAGAAAGCAGGGGCTATCCCTTCTTAATCTGAATCCGTTTGCCTGTCTCTTTCTTCCAGTGCACTCAGTGTTGAAACAAAGCAGTTATAGCTGCCTGCTACACCAGTGGTACGAACAAACCAGTTCCTTGTGTGTCTACCAAGTAGACTTGCCATATCAGGAAGCACACTCTGTTTTCGGATCGTACATCACCCAGCACCTTCAGTCACTGCTGTTTGCTTTCCTCACAGGACGATCATCTACCTCTCCATTGTGTATGTGGTTGGCCATCTGATAAAATCAGTCGGTGCAATTCCATCCCTAGGCAACCAGGCGGTTCATGTGTAAGTAGCTGTTAAAGCCGCAGTGCTGTAGTAGATTGCGATGGTAGTTGGTTTACCCAGGACTGTCATTTGTTTCACCTCCATCAGGCCAGCAGTTTGGGGGCTGTGCATGGGTTGCTTTTATCAGGGGAGGGTTTGGCATATCTGAGTAAGAACAGAAGGGTGGATCTAGAGTGTGAATGCACCAGAAGGAGTTGGAAACCGCCACAGAGACTTTAAGCCCTTTGAGATAGGGACCTCTGATCACCTCTCTCTGCTATACCATGCTACTGGAGTTTGGTCTCCTCCATCCAACTGCCTGCACCAGGCTAATTCGTCCCTCATTTCCTCATCAGCATAGCTGCCCAGCTCAGCAAGGTTCCCCTGTGTGCATGGGAACACAAACCCAAAGATACATTTTCTGATGTGACAGGGGAAGTGTCTGTGTCTTCCATAGGGTACTACCATTTTTGCCCTCTAGATTCTGAACTAATAGGCTTGTCAGAGTAGTTTCTCATCTGGCGTCTCTGAAACCACCAATCTGTTTTTGCTTAGGTGGTTACAGCTCTAAAAATATGCACATGCAGGGAGCAGCACATCTCATTTACAGAACAGTTTCCTTTTGTCCCAGACCTGGACAGTCCTGACACTCCTGTTCCCTGCAGATGTAATCTGTTGGGCCAACAATGGTATTTTGAGGAGCACTGGGAAGTAGAAAGCACCCAAGAATAAGCCTAATTCAAACAGTTGGTCTGCACTTACCCAGGCTGAAAGGCTACAGAAAAAGGCTTTTTTTTTCCTTTTTTTTTTCTTTTTTCTTTTTCTCAGTTGATCTCTGCAATCTTTTGTTCTCATATGAGTGAAAAATAATCCCAAGGATCTTTGATCTCTAGTATGTCCATTGGGTCTCAGAACAGCAAGAAACTGACAAAACCAGTTTGGTTAATTGACTGGTACTGAATGCAGAAATTAGGATAATTAATTTGTTTTTCGCACTTAGCTGGCTCATCATCACTACCCATGTGCAAAAGACAATGATACCAGAGGAATCGTGGTTGGGTGACACTAAAATGCTCTCATAAGCATTGGAAAGGTTCTGCAATGGTGATATTTTTGTTCTTGCATGAAGGATCCTGTCTATGGTTGGTCTGTTTTTGATCGCCCTTGGAACGGGAGGTATCAAGCCCTGTGTCTCTGCATTTGGTGGGGACCAGTTTGAAGAGGAACATGTAAGATTTCTTTTCTTTCCTAAAATCTGCAGTGTCTGCTTACTTTATGAGGGTGTTTATGTGATCAAATCCTGTTGTACTAGAATAAGGGCCAGGTTGCTAGGAAAAGATGTAGCAAGATGTGAGGTAGGATGGTTTGTGTAAGACTTGAGAGAATCTGGATGCTTCAGGAAAGGAAAATGACAGCAGAACAGGACTGATATTGGGAAGGATAGGTCATAACTGCATCAAATCATCTAAATGTTAATTGGATGTCAGACTAGTTGGAAATCCTGTATCATGTAACCATTTCTGAACCAGCTTAACAGGGGTGGTTATAATGCACTGCAACGGAATATGGCAAATGAAAGAGAAAATTGTATCACCAGCCTATGCTTCCTTGGGAATTTTCCCTCAAATCCGTCATAGTCTGTGTCTTAGATCTTGTTCAGAAAGAACTGTAGGAAATTCCAGTCTTTTAAAAGTAGTGCTGGTACCAAATCTACCCAGAATGTTTTCTAGATATTCCAGAATGGAAAGTTCTGAAGAGTTGGGAAAATGTTTCTTTTGTAGCTCTGTTTGTGCTCTGCATCCTGTGAATTGTAGTCCAGTTGCTTCGTGTCCTCATTGTCTATCATGAGTGCTTAGGCCCAACCTGTGCTAATCTCAAACTCCTGTTATGCACCACAGTGGCTCAACCAGGTTTAAGGTAGTACTTAAAGAAGCGAAGCAGGTCAGGAAGTACTAATCCTCAAGCAAAATGCATAATTTTCAAATTGACCTGAAATTAAACACTTAGATTTATGTTGACCTAACACACAAATAAAAATTTCCGTTTTCTCAATGACAGTATTCAAATTAGCAACTTCTCTGAGTGGCGTAAGTCCTCAAATATGTAGAAGGCCACTGCTACAAGAAAGAAAGTAAGTGTTGGGGTCTGTGATGAGTAGGCTTAAACTCGGGGAGGATTATTTAGGACTGACAGTCAGAAAAATTTTCCAGAAATAGATCTAGAGAAGGACTGAAAAAGATTAGGACCTTTGGGAGATGGAAATTCCCATCAATGGAGGTATTGAAGAAGGACATTAGACTAATGGTAGGCACTGGTAGAGTTGGACAAGGGAATGGTCCTTTGGCCTTGGATAAGCTATGGGAGCCCCGTGGGGCAGTTTGCTGTTTGTCTTTTGCAATGCCCCAGCACATAGTCAGCATTTAATGAATGAATAATATAGACTACAATGTTTATTTTAAAATTTTGGGAAGACCTGTGCTTTCTGCACATGAACTGTGTGATGCTGAAAGTGATGAAGCTTATGGTTACTAAGGAGTAACAAAACACAGGATGTTTCATAGTCACTTGTTCAAAGCAGATCCTTCTGCAGGCATGTCCATCCTGTGCTGTCAGTTGGACTCGGTGCTTTACAGGATGCTGCAGAAGAGGGAGCAGCAATCGTCTGGTGGTCACCAGCTTCCTCAGCTGGCACAACTCTGACCAAAAGCAGGCTGGCAGTACAGCACAGGCGCTCTGGGAATATGCTGCGTGCATACTAGCAAGTGGGCACCTCAGCTTGCAGTGCCAATAGTTGTCCCAAAAGGATTCCAACAGGTGTTACAGCAGCGTTTTCAGAAGTGCTACTTCTATGAATATTAATGATTAATAATGTTTATCCACCATCTTTCAATTACCACCTAATTACAGTATAATAATATGTACCACTTATCTTCAGAGTGTTTTATAGACTTCAGCTAATGAATCTCGGCACCCCTGTCAGGCACATCCCAAACTTACAACCACAACTGAGTTACAGAGAAAAACCTGAATTGCCTGTGGTTGTGTGGGCCTGTGCCCATTCTCCAGCATTCAGACTACACCACTCCAACAAATTTATCCAGTACTAAGGCTCAAACATTCACCTGTGTGTTGCCTCAAGAAAAACTAATTTAGAGAAAGAAAACTGTAAAAAGCCTTGTGATAAGGACAATGAGTTCTGCTCTATTCATTCTTTTCAGAATAGAAAGGTTTGTATTTTACCATTTTGAAATGACTTGGCCTTTCAGAAGAAAAAAAGGTTTTATGCTATGTGATAGGAAATTTAAGTCTTCAAAATTGGAATGAGAAGTTTTAATTTTGTAAGGAATGAAAGGTTTGGGGCCAACCAGAATATTTCTCCCCTCCGGAGTGCTGTTTGAGAGGACTTGTCATGTTTTTCATCTTCCACTCCAGGTAGGGTGAAATAAGTTTTGAAAATTCCCAATGAAATGAAGCATTTGATTCCCCCTTAGTTTTCAGGACACCAATAAACTTCAGATGAGCTCTTAAGTGCACAGGTTTAGTTGTTCCATCTGGAAACTAGGGATGTGGTAATTCTGTGTATAAAATGAATAAATAAATTGCCCATGCTATTCCCACGTAGAGACAAATTTATGTTTTGAGGTAAATGCACACCATCGGTCTGGTTTTCTTTTAAGTACTTTAGGAGTGTAATAGTCTTGGATCTGCCGCTTTGAGAACAGTGCTACTACAAACAGTGATGTCAGCAGGAGGTCAGATAGGGAAAGTAGATTTACCTGCAGGAGATTTGTCTATGGGATTAGGACTCCAAGCTAAAAATGCCTGAACAAAATTATGTTTATGATATGTTATATGCGAAGGCTGCTGTGCATATTAATTAAAGACCAAAGCTGCTTTCAAACAGTGTGATATGGTCTTTAAGGTACTAAATAGCTTTCTCTTTGTTTCTGTATTTTCTGGTTGCCAAGGAGATCAGGATTATTGTGTATGGTACCTTTTCTCAAATTAGCTAATCCAAATCATGTTGTTAATGTACGGCTGCTCCAAAGATTAAGAAAATAGGGAGGGAATTCTTTTTTCCAATCAGTGTAATTTGCAAGCTGCTGGGTCATTATTTTTGTAATCACTTTTGCTTTTCTCTGACCATTTTTTTTCCATCACTGAAATCTGAAAATGTGTGAAATAAGATGCTTCAAATTCTTTATACATCACTACCCTCTTCTCTTACCAGCACAATCTTTTTGGTAATTGTTGCTGTAGACTTTATCACGTCGAGAGCTGCATGCTTGAGTTTTTCTCAGCTCTCAGAAATTCGGAGTTGCTCAGATACGAAGGGTTAGAGATATGGCATGAGAATTTGACTAGAAGAGGGCAGGGCTATGAGGACTGTACTGCACCACTCATGTCAAGCCATGGCAGGGCTACTCTGGGAGCAGGAGAGGTTGCTGAGGCTGTTCATTTCTCTAGATTTCCTTATGATACAAATAACTAGTCACAAAGGTAGAAAGAAGAAGAAAATATACTTCTACTAGCTTAGCAGTAGAAGGTTCCAGGTAATCAAAACCACTGGTAAGGACAGAAATGGAGAATGAGAGATCCAGTGCTGTTTGCTATTAACCATGGGAACATGCCATAGAGATGATTATTATAAGGTTTACAAATCCTTTAATCCAGGATAAATCATTTACGAGTAATGTATGGATTAGATTGCCTGGGACATGCTAGGAAATAAAATCGTGGAAAAGCCAAAAGCTCAAGTTGATGGGGTCTTCATAACTGTGTTGTGGCAAGACAAAAAGCCCTTAACTCAAGTGAGGGGACCGCCAGACTCCTTGGTGGTTGGCAGTGGGAGGCGATGCGGCTCTCACCCTCATCTTCCCAGTACCCGCTTCACAAGGGGACATAAAGAAAAGCCCTCCCAACGCCCTCCCACCTGCCCACCTTCCCTGGAGTAATACCTTGTGATAAGAGGCTTCTCGCCATATGAAGTAGCAATATTTCCTGTTGGCTGCACCATCAGTCATGGGAAGTTTTGTCACATTTTTGGATCCCAGGCTTCATTCCTTAAGAGCTGTCCTCTTTTAGCTGCCTGCAAGTCTTCACATTTTCTCCTGTTTTCTAACCTTGTGAACATTATTGTCTCAGGGAGCAGAAGGAAGCAGGACATATTAGAAGGAGAGGGGACAGAACCAGGCCCCTGAGGAGCTTTCTCACTCTCAGCTAAGTTAGAGCTTCGCATTCAAATGATGCCTAGTCATAGAGATGTGGTTCAAGGAGCTTGAAGGAGCTCTCTGCCAGGCACCAAGCCATGTCCCAAGCAATTTGCCCATTACCTTTACAGGACCTGGTGACAGCTGGGAGTGAAGCCTAGATACATATGGAGTATATTGGCTGCCTGGGCTTGGGCTGTCCTTAAATGCTGGTTTCACCAACTCAGGTGTCCCATAGCTGGTGATACAGATCAGCATGGGGTAGGTCAGGTAGCCTGCTCTACTTTCTCCACTCTGCTGGCCCACCCAGGCACAGGGAGGAGGTTTAGCACTGTGTATGTGCATGTGACTCTGCATGTATGTCTCCCCCGCAAGGAAGGAGAGACTGCTCTCAGTTGAATGCACATTACTCCTGCAAAAAGGATCAAACTCCGCATCCAGTTCTTGATTCCTTCCAAATTATGTATTATGCAGGAAGAAAGATGCTCAACAGGAATCCTTTGACTGTGTGAACTGTAGTATGTTACAACATCAGTTAAATTCTGAACTCTTTCTCTTAGAGTTCATCCTTCCATCAGGCTCTCGAATTTACTCCTGTAGATTTAATTTACCTTATTAGTTTGAGGTTGACTGGCCTCAGCTTGGTAATCTCCTGTCTGACGGATACCTCTCATTTGCTGGCACTGTCTCATCTATGCTGTCATTACCAGCTCCTCAAAATACACAGGTTTCTTTTTCTATTTCTACACAGGAAAGGGGGGGAAAAAAAAGAGCTCAGACATGGGAAGAAATGATGAGCTTGTCAGACCGTGCCAAATTGAATTGAATTAGGTGACAGAGGATCTGAATTATGCTACTTGTTCTGAATAAGTAAATGTTCTCCCCTCCTTCCAATCTCACAACACTCTCGAAGCAGTGACTTTTCCTCTGAAATACCAAAAAGCCCCAAAGCACTTCTCAAGTAATGTGTGATTGTGTGAGCATTTACCATCACCCGAACGCAAGCTTGTTTGCTTAACATTTTATGCACTGCATGTCAATATTTACCCAGCGTTCCTAACAAGAGAATTGATAGTGTTCAATTTGCAAGCCCAACGCTGTGTGTTAGCCGTGACATTGATATTGTCTTCTCTTGTTTTAGACCTTGGAGAGAAGCAAGTTTTTTTCCATCTTCTATTTATCCATTAATGCTGGAAGTTTGATCTCCACGTTTGTAACTCCTGTATTAAGAGGTCAGTGTTGATTTAGAATAAGACAATAAATTAGCTGCCCTCTGACTACTCCGCTGTGCATAGTTAGGCTCTTATGACAGCTGAATGGCAGAAATTACATTATCTGTGGAGTGGCCAGTGTATTGCATTTACGCCTTGTTAATCCTGCCGTAGCAGCACAACAGATTTATAGCAGTAGCAGACAAGTCACAGAAACTATATTCCTGGTTGTATTTCAAAGCCAGCCTGAACTGTGGAATTAAAATATGAAAGGTGGAAGGACCTATACGGTCATCTGATCCTCCCCATTGCCAGTGAAGGATTATTCCCTCGTCTTGCCTGCAGGGATCCCTGAGGATGGGAACTGATCTCTGCTGTCCTGTGCAGGTGTCAGGGCCGAAAAACTTAGCAGGGCTGGTTTTGAAGTCCTACCATCTCCCTCCCACAGGGTGCTGCTGGCTTCTGGAGGGCTCTGTCCTGGCATCCAGGCATGTCTGAGTGGGTCTGCTTGCAAGATTGCAGCCCTGAGCAACTAGCCTTGAAGACAAAGCATAGGCCTATGCCCCACTTAAGACCTACTTTACATTCTAGCCAGCTTGCACAACCCCTTTTAGTCCCTGAGTCTTGCTGCACTTACTTCATTGTATTGCAGCGCCTAGAAGCCAAGGGGATTGGCACGCTCTAAATACAGACACAGAGGCAGAGCAGCAGACCATAGGCGATGGGGATGGGGACAGGGACAAGGTAGCCTTCACACTTAGCAGCAATTTTTTTCATTTCGTCTGTGGCCTCCAGGAAGCTTTCTTTGTTCAGAGTGGTTATTTTAACAGGCCGTTCATTTCACAAGGCTGTGGGCAATTGTGCTTGTCTCATATTTACACCATGCTTATGGGCAAAGTCAAATGCTGTATCTTGTGCTCTTTCTCTCACCGGTGTCCCCAGGTCAGCACTCTGTTGGGAAGGGGCTTTTGCTCACTATAGCCAGTGGGCAGATGAAAATCCAGTCCCCTTCGAACATCAAAATCTGTCCCAATAGCAATAAACTAGCTGCCACATGGAAATTAGGTGGAGAGGATGGGGAAAGAGTAAAATTTCTGCTAAATGTGAAAGCTTTTCTTGGAAGAGCAAGAAATGCAATTCATAGACATTTGGCAGAAATGCGGAATATATACTTTTAGGTGGAGAAGTCCAACTCATTTTGCGTGTCAGAAGTTCAGTGTGCCCATAGTGTCTCACTGCCAGCTTTGTTGGATTTCAACTAATTTGCTGAAAATAAGTAAATAAATGCTATGCCTATACACAGCTAGGCAGCTGACAGTGACTGCCCAGGGACAACAAACAGGAACAACTGAAGGCTTCATGGGTTGGTTTCCTGTTGACTATGTTGGCTTATTTTAGCCATTTTGTTATTACTCCATGTAAGAATGCAGTAATTTGTAGCCAGTAGCATACAAACAGTGACCCCACTGCTGGCTTGCTATTTGCAACTGGATTTCTAAATTCACATGGTGTGAGAACTGACCTGGTCCAAGAGGTGCAGGGTTTCGGTGAACCATAGCTCAGATCGATCAAAGCCATGCTGTAACAAACCTGGCTTCCTGATGGGTTATTGCAAGACCTGACATTTGGAGCAGGCTGCCTCTAGTGAGATTGGAAGGTGGCAAGAAAGGGAACTGAAGTTTTAAGACTAATCCTGTCTCCCACTTATATATAGGGGTATTGTCTTCCACTTTGTCCACTGTAGGTTGCTATGAAATCAGATTCAGGTTTTTAGCTCAATAACTCATGCAGCTGGCACAAATAATGTGGAAACACAGTGGTGGTTATTTAGATCTAGGCAAATACAGAATGGCTTCAGGTTATTTTAAATGTTGTGGGTTTTTTCCCAATTACAGTTCCTCTAGTTCTTTCTACCTATTTGTCTACCCCCTCCCTTCTACCATTCTCATCAATATCCCGTTATCAGCTGCTTTTGATGGCACACACTAACCCTGCTTCCAAATTGTCTTCATCAAGGGAGGACAACTGTTTCAAGGAGATTCAATTCACAGTGTCAAGCACCAGCAAAAAAGATTTAAAGCCAGGGGAAGTGACTGATTTAGGGGAAGCAAATCAAAGGCCCTGGTAACATAAGTCTGACTGTAATGAGGTGCTTTTATTTCTGACTTCTTTTTCAGGGGATGTGAAATGTTTTGGAGAGGATTGTTATGCACTGGCTTTTGGTGTCCCAGCAGCACTGATGGTGTTGGCACTTGGTGAGTGGAAACAATAATGCTTGTAATAGGAGTTACCATTTTTGAGTCCATCGATAAATGAGAAAATGCACAAATTCACTAGCTCTGGATGGATGCTGCGATGGGAAACTCAAGGGTTCAAGGTCATCCAACAATTCCACAGTTCAGAACAGCAAGAAAAATCACTAGTTCACTTAGTGGTGGGCAGACCATGGTTTTACTGCAATCCTTTATCATGATACTGATGAGAGGGTGGTCTGGTGGATGTTTCACAATACAATTGCCTTGCTCTGTAAAGCAAAGGGAGGCAGCAAAATGATTCTCCTGATGGCTTGCAGCTTTGCCTACGAGCAGGCTTGGCCTTTGAACTGCAATCTGAGCAGTCCTCAGAGTTTCCCAGCTTATAGAAGAGAAGCTTAGCATGCCACTTCTATCCTTTCCACAGGCTCTTTGCAGCTTGGGGCCATCTTTAATGGCTCAGACTTTTGCTTCAGAATCTGTGCGCCACAGAAATCACAGAAGGAGCTGAATGAGATGTTACTTTATTCTGAGCTGTCTCACTTTGCTTGGCTGAAGTAATTCCCACAATTACAGTGACAATTTATTATTATGTTGCAATAAAAAGCCCTTATTGTCCAAGTGTCAGGAGGCAGCCGCAATCACCTTGTTTCCTAAAGCTTGCATCATAGCCCCATTAATGTACTTGTCAAGATTTCTTCTTCAACCCTTATAAAATACTTAGCAATTTCCACATTCTTACTGTTACTCTTTGGTAGCCAATACAGAGGACACCCCATTAGCTTTAGTTTCACAGTTGCAAGCTGCTGAGGGGAGCAGTCCCCTTATTACACTGCATTTGAGAGGTTTTGGCACAGCATGGGGTGACTTCTCATTCAGCTTGTTAGCTTAATTGAGAGACCAAGCAATTGTGTGATTTCACCACAGCATCTGTGATTTGAAAACTTCGTCCCCCCAGAGAATGTGAATGTTGCTCTCTCCCCTCAGACTTCCATCAGAGAGAAGAAACAGGACACTGGAGAAATGTCATCAGGCCACAGCTAACGTTACAGCAATTATTTTCAAAAAACTGCATGGTCACGGGCCTGAGAAGCTTCTCTTTTCCCCTGTGGCCTGTTCCTATCAGTTTAAGGCAGCGCAGGCTCCTCTGTTTGCCATTGTGTGATGAATGTTTCTAGCAGAGTAGTAGTTGCCCAGGGGAAAATGGATGTGTAAATATTGTAGTTTCGGTGAGGGCATCAATTGAAATGTGTTTTTAGCTAGTGTCCTGCTGCCAGATTGCACGGCCTGCCCGGCAAAGCAGCTCTGTGTTCTTTTGTAACATGCTAAAATGCTCTTGGAAGTGATATATTTGACTATGTGAGCAGCATGCAGAACTGGAGAAAATACCCTTTCAGCCCTGACTGGCCCTCTCCCTGTGATGATGGAAAGCAAGGATAGATTTAGAGGCAGAATGCAAATCTTATAGAGCAAGATTTTCTGGACTGCTTCAGTTTCTGAAAGATGGGGGAAGATTGATACTATTTAATTCCAAATGAATGCCAAACCTAATGCAGGAACCTCAGTTCCCAAAGGAGTCAATGGCATCGCCAGAAGGTATTTCTAATGAGTTACCTTTTAGAGGCACCAACAGGTCAACAGGGAGATGCTAAAAATTAGGTAGTGCAGCTACCCATTCTGGGTGACTTGTCCAAAGTGTCTTTCAGTGTGACTCACCTAAACTGACTTCAGAGGTCTCTCTGACAGTTCTGCAAGTCAGGACTGGATGCAAAGGGTCTTCATAGTGAGAAAACAGAAATGGTGAGTTCCCTGCAGTGTCCCAGGCCTCCTGTGTTAGGACAGAGGTGCCTGCTTTTCTCCACTGGCTGTGGACTGACTCAGACAATTGGGTTAGTTTAAAAAGTTGAGGTTGGTTTGTTATATGGATTTCACGCTCAGCTTTTATTATGCTTCTCCCTGCTAACGTCTTTGGAATTGCAATGTGCTCAGAGGCTCTCAAAGAGCAGGACAAATTATATGTAATCAGATAGCCCCATCTCTGACAGGATTTTGAAGCCTCAGTCCAATATTCTTTGTGCTTTGAGGGAGAAAACCAGGACAAAACAATATCTTAAATTGTATGGAGACCATAAATGGAGGTAATTTCTGTTAACACCAGTGTGTGATGCAGTGACCTTCATGGCAGATTCCACTGAATGTGTGTGAGATGCAAGTACACAGAGCCCGTGTTGGATCTGGATTAATCCTCACATGGTTGCAAGGAGTCAGGGCTGATTTCCAACATCAGGTGCAGCAATTCAATGTGGATCGTATTTTAAGTTTAGCCTACAAAAAGCATAGATGGAGGGAATTTTCAAAGCTTTGAATCAGATGTGGAGGTGCCTGTTGTGCCAGAGCAGATCATGAGAAGATGATGGTGACTTCCTAGGGATCACACTGCCTCTTGTAGGATGTTGCGTTTTCTTCCATCTGAAGGCATTAAAGGAGTCTTGTATATTTATTCTGTTAAAAGTGCAATACTGTAAGCCCCAAGGGCAGAGGATTTCTGTTGAATACAGGGGTGGGGGATCCTTCCCAGAAGCCAGTGCAGGATTGAGCTTCAGTCATGTGAATTCCCATTTGGATTATAATATTTTTCAGTTGTGTTCATTGCTGGAAGTGGACTGTACAGAAAAACGCCACCACAAGGGAACGTCTTACTGGAAGTATGCAAATGCATCAGCGTAAGTGTGTGCCATTCTCTCTTTTTTTATGCGTGACACTGAGGTTGCAGGTCAGAAGAGTGCAAAGGGAAAGGGGAGGTGACATCTGGAGTTCTTCTGTATGCTGCTCCTGGATATCTTGCTGAGGAGCTGTAAGGAATAAGAAACACATTTAGGTCCTACTTTATTCTTTCAACTTTTCAATTGTTTTTCCTTAGCTCCATGAACTCAGTTGATGTCAGTAGAACCACTAGTGGCAGATGCTGGTGGAGACTGAACTGAAAGGAAAATTCAGAAACTCACAGAGTATCAGATATATGACTCAATTTTTTTCAGCTGAATAATCAGCAGACAGTAATAGTACACAGTCATATTATGGACATTCAGCATGTTCAGGTAAATGCAAGAGACACCTGCTGAAGTTGCATTATGGCCTTATCAATTATTTTTCATAGTGTGTGAGCTGAATATAGTATGTGAAAAAATACTCTCTTATTATTAGGTGGATGATGATATTTCTTTTTCAGGAAGCTGTTGCTAACAGCAGACGTTTTCTTTTTACGTAGGTCAATCCTAGTGACAGAGTTACCTTGGGGAAACAGTTCAGATCTTAAAGATAGGATTTCTAAGTGAGGTCTGCTACTCTTTTTGCCAGGATGGCTGGAGCATACAGCATAAACAAACAAGTTACAAATTCGGTGTCACTGATTTCTCCTCCAATGAGAAACCAACTTGAAAGCTGGTCTAGGAGTGAATGAGGCATGGGCTGCACCAGGAATATGCAAAGAAAGGTCTACAGAACAAGAAAGGAATGAGAGTTCTGGTTTTGACATTGCTTTGGATAACGGGGCATTTCCTCCCCAGCACAGCGGTCAATCCGACAGGTGCTTTTTGGAAAATAACTGAAGAAATTATGTTTAAAGCTTTATCATGTAACAGGTTTTAAATCAAGCATGAAACAGTCTTTGGGGACTAGTTGTCTCTGAAAGACAAGCCCATGAGGTAGTTCATTCCCACATCATACCTTTAACCAACCGATGTCACAGAAATTTCCCTGCAGAGAATTGGTCATAAAGCATCTGATCTGAGATTTTGGAAGTGTCCAGCAAAACCCCCGCAGTTTTCTGGTGCTGCTTACATTTGGGGATGGGGAGGGCAGCCTTGAGTCGGGAATGTGACAAGGGCAGGTATGCTATGAGGGAGTTACCTTTTTTTCTCCCTAGTTTGCTATTAAAAACCGGCTGAAAAACCGCTCCCGTCAGATTCCAAAGAGAGATCACTGGCTGGACTGGGCGTCAGAAAAATACTCGGTAAGCCTGGCAGGTTTGGAGTGGGAAGGGGGGAGACGAGCAGACAGACAGCGGAGACAGTAAGACTGGCCTGGCCACACCACTCCTCAGATGCACCGGGCTCTCATTTGTCCTGTCCCTTTCCACATCTCTGCTCTCCTGACCCTTAATGGACAGTTTAGGTGCTGCACTGAAATGCAGAAATGCAAATGTGTCCAATATCATGAATAAGGACAATGAATAACTGCCATGCAGAAAGAAATAGGAGCTCTTATGCTTTGTGGCTTGAATCACATGTTGGCTTTTCACCCCCGTCTTACCTTTTTGCCTGTTCACTTTACAGAAACAGCTGATTAGGGAGATTAAAATGGTGACACGCGTTCTCTTCCTCTTCATACCACTGCCAATGTTCTGGGCCCTGTTTGATCAGCAGGTACAGTACAGCGCGTTGCAGGTCTGCCTGCCAGCCTGGGATTGCACCCTTGTCCTTCCAGGGTGACACCAAAGCATCCTGGAGATAGAGTGCCACGCTCCTACCAGGTGTCCAGGGGCTTGCTAGGGCAGTACCCACCATCACTGCTGGCCATCTCTTCATAGTCCTGCCGGGCGTCTGGCACAGGAGGGTGAGAAGGAAGAATGTGCCCTGCCTACTGGCAGGTGTTACAAAGAAGGGAAGGAATAGATGGGAAATAAGACCTCCAGCACTGTCGTCTTCTAGTTTTCCAGTCTCACAGGACATCTTGAAGGCTTCACAGCTGTCTGTTTTCTCCTTAGGGATCCAGGTGGACTTTGCAAGCCACAAAAATGAATGCTGATTTTGTAAGTACTTAATGTCACCAGGGCTGGTAAGACTAGTAGTAACATCACTGCTCTTGCTTTTTAACTGGAGTCTCGCAGTACTAAGAGCATCTGCTTGATGAGTCTGGGTGAGTTGCACTTTTGGTGATTAGAAGCGAGAGGCTCTGTGCAGCCATTTTCAATTCACCACAGCACATCTTGGCAAGGAGTGAGGGCTGGGGAGCCATCAGCAGCCTGCAAGGTCAGGAGTGCTGACCTACTGGCAACCAGTCACTCTGTGACCTTCCAGCCTGCTACCCCTACTGAAGACAGAGAAGTCAGGGAAAGTTGTAAGCAGCCCTTGTAAGGTGTAACTAGAGCTATTGTAGTTGTATATTTCTGCTCTGGCTTACTTGGTGATACATTAATGAAGCCTAGCAGGAATCTTGTGTATAAGGTAGAGATGTGATGAGGATTAATTAGTTAGTAGACATAAAGCTCTTCAAAGATGTGAATGGCAAATGGTGCAGGGTGCAGTGGCAGATAAATGTGGATCAGCTATCTGCCTAAAGATGCCACCGTACAGGGCTGGTTTCCAGACATATATGTTTTAACAGGCCATCTAGATCTTACCTGTGGATGCTCACATTAGAATTTAGGATTGTAAATGCCCATTTTCCAGTTTAAAATTGACTTAAAGCCCAACATTTGAGCCCTTCTATGTCACTCCTGTTAAAAATTGGGCTCTCAGCATGTGATACTCATTAGACTTAATTAATTCAAATGAGGCATGAAAAAGACTACACCTTGGGTAATATTTATCCACCTCAGAAACAAAACAATGAAAGTTCACACAGTCTTTGTGATGTGTGTCTAAAAACTTGGTTTTCTGCTGTTTTGCTCACATGCATTTAGTGATCCATTAGCAGAACATCTAAGAATCAGGTGTCACTTATTAAACTCCCCCTGGTGGAGAAGGACATATTCAGGGCTTTTTTGTCACACTAACTTGGACAGATTTTTGGCTTGTGTTTCAATCTCATCTGCTCTCCACTAGTGAGTTGTCCCAATTCATGAAGGTGGGAATTAACTGCAACATTGGGGTGATCCCACCATTAGGCTTGTTGGAGTTCATGTTTGCAATATTCCATGCTTTTCCCTTCTGCAGACAAAGGGCTCAGCTAGGAAGTCTGGAGTTAAAGAGGGGATGATTTAATGTGAGATGAAATATTTGCAGCTTGTTTCCTAATGGCACATTTGTATAGTGTGCACAAAGTAGCAGGAGGGGATATTTGCCTGATATTTTTAGTTGTATGACTCCTTTGCAGTGACCAGTGGTTTCCACTCTCCCAGGAGGCAGCTGCTGGCAGAGACAAGCAGGCATTCTAGATTCAGCTCAGGACAAGCCTGGCAAACAGGAGACAAACCCCCACAGTGCTTTCTTGGAAAGATACTATTTCCTTCCTGATTTTTCCCCCTCTTCTCTTCATCTTAATTTCAAATGAAAAACATTGCATGGAGTTCAGACAAACACCAGCCCCTCCCTGGAGACAGCTCATCCCCCTTTTGGGGACTGGGATCCCTCTGTCCATCTCTGTTGACCTTGCCTGATTGTGAGGGCTGGGTACGATGATGCAAGGGTGAGACACCCCTTATAGCCTTGAGGACTTTTGGCTCAAACCAAAAGTCACATTTGACCAAAGTCCAGTAGGTGCCCTTGGCAGATGGAGGGAGGAAAGAGGTGTTTGTGCAGCCCACTGGCTCAGGGATGGTCTTTTGCTATCCTTTTGGGGTGCTTGGGAGAAATGCCAACAGAGCTCAGAGGGTCCTGAAGCTTGAGAGCACTCATGTATAGGAATGGGCTTTTCCCATTACAGAAGCAGGGAGGGAGAAAGCTCTAAGCCCAAATCCCAGCTTGGGCACTAACATGCCCATTTGTCCCCACTTACCTAGTTCATGGCTCAGCCAGTCTGAAAGATGGGTCTCAGTATCTGTCATAGGCTGTGTCTCAGCTGCCATATATCAAGGACTGAGTGTAGCTTCCTTCTACAAAACAATTCTCATCAAACACTGTGTCCTTACACGACATGTGTCAAAAGCACAATATCAGCACAATAAAGCATTTGAGGAAGCCACCTTTGCTGCTAAGGCCTCTACTGGACTAATTGCTTATTTGCTATATGCACTGTTATTTTATGGTGTTTATGAATCACTTGGAATATCTTTTTGTTTCAGGGAATATATGTCCTTCAGCCTGACCAAATGCAGGTAAAAGATACTATAGGGCAGGAAATAACCCTTAGAAATGTATTTTCTTTTTCGCTTTCATTTTTATTTTTCTCATGGGACCAGTGGCCTTTCTTTGCTCCTTTTGAAGGTAATAGCAGTGCTCCTGCTGACTGCTGTGGTGTGGACTCTGCCTTATTGCTCTCTAGCTGTTTTGCAAGCTTAGTCTTGGGGTTCAGAAGACCCCAAGGATGTCCTAACACGGAGGTTGTATCCTACAGAATAGTGCAGAGGTGTGGGGAGACATGCCACCATAATAGTTCTTGAACTAGTGCTGGCATGTGGAGGATACAAGCTGTGTCTCCTTTTAACATGCCCCTGCGCTGGGATGAGCGTTGTACCTGAAATATATTTCCTTTCTCCCTTTCTGCAGGGCAGATGAAAATGTGAAGGCTCCAAGATGGTGCCGTGTTGTCACAGTTGATTACAATTCTTAGGCTGAACAGCTCTGGAGAATTTCAAAGCTGTTCTGTTCCCTGAAATCTTCCTTCAAAACTGAAACAGCATTTCTCTCTGCTTGTTCTCTATTTTCTTGCTCTGCCACTGCTGGCTGACAGACAAGCTCTGCCCCTCCCAGGAGAAATTTAGTTCCTGGGGGACTACCAAGCTGTTTGGAAGTATGAGAAATTGCCAATCTCACAGAATAGTGCCTGTTCCTCTGGGATTTTGCTGAAGTCCCAAGATGTTTCCATTATTGCTGATTTGTTGTAAGGTCCCACCACAGCACCGAAGGTCACCTGCCTCTATTGTCAGTGGGTTTTGTACTCTTTAAAAACATAATGCTTCAGTCCTCTCTTCAGGGAAACTGGGCCAGTGATGCTTGCTTACCTCTTGGAGGGGAGGATATGAACAAAATGTATTCGTGTCTGTGAAAACTAAATAGCGGAAGCTGTCGAAGTGCAAACTATGATTATATTTTAAAAGGAGGTTTTTAAGTGTTTGTTCATGTCCTTTCTGTAATGGAATTATTTCTGGAGGACAGTGCTTTATGAGTTTAATTACTGAAAGTTGCTTTCTAGTCACTAAACTCCCATTCTTTTGTATTGCAGTTCTTAAATCCACTTCTTATTCTTGTCTTCATCCCCATTTTTGACCTTGGGCTCTACCCCCTGATAAACATGTGCAAATTTAATTTCACGTAAGTACTTGGGGACAATGCAGATGCCTGAGTGCTTTTTCTTTTGCAGCAAGTGTGCAGAATAGCGTTTGAGGAGGAGAAACACAAATTTCCATTCACCTTTCCCAGTATTGCCTCTCCTTCAGCCCCAAGAGGCAGCATCACCCTCTTCCATAGGGCCTGCAAATTCCAAAGGGGAAAATTCAGTGATGTTGGATGTCGTAAGTACTTGGGGACAATGCAGATGCCTGAGTGCTTTTTCTTTTGCAGCAAGTGTGCAGAATAGCGTTTGAGGAGGAGAAACACAAATTTCCATTCACCTTTCCCAGTATTGCCTCTCCTTCAGCCCCAAGAGGCAGCATCACCCTCTTCCATAGGGCCTGCAAATTCCAGAGGGGAAAATTCTGTGATGTTGGATGTGTGATTAAGGGCACGGACTCCGTCTGAGAGAGAACGAAGACCTTTATTATACTGCACAAGCACCTTTTATACCTCACATTATGCCTCGTATGCATTATGGAAATCTCCAAGTAAATCCCCTAAGCAACGGTCATCTCTAACACGTGATCGATGCTCTTCTGCCAACTTCCTTATCTTCTGCCATGTCCTCAGAACTGCGAACACCATATCCTACTCCCCTTTTCCCACGGCTTACTTCCCTTCTTCCCACGGCTTCTTGTTCACCAATGCTATGATACTGCTCGTACTCTCAAACATTGATTCCTGCACAGTTGGATTCTGCTCTGTACAGATTTTTCATGAAAGCAGATATGAACAGTTCCTCTTTGAATTTGATCAACATGTTCTTCAGCTTGTCTCCTATATTACCGCTAAATAATTCCCTCCCTGAGAGGTCCCTGTGGGGCCAAATTCACTGTCCCATGTAGACTACATGTGTTGTGAAAGATTCCACACTAGGATCTGAGTCAGTGAGTACATAAGGGAATTTCCATATGGCCCAAGCATTTTATCCCTAGTCTATGTTAGCAAGAAGTGCAGTGTAATAGGACCAGACCTCCAAGTTGGTTCTGAAACCCACTTTATGCATTTTGGGGGATTTTACTTCAGAGTATCTGAGTCTGCCTCTGTGGACTGATGCCCTTTAGCAGTGGGAGCATGTTAGTGCACTCATGGAGTGCCTCTGCCAGTGCAGTTTCAGCTGAAAGGAACCAAGTTTCCATGCTCCAGCACCACTTCTCAACGTGAACCACAGCATGGGAAGGGACGATAAGTGGGAGATTGGCTTAAAAAGCATGTTCCTAATCCAAACTAAAATGCTGGATAGACAAACCAAATAAAATGGGGATGGAAGGAGCCTCAGAAGCCTACCCCTTCACCCTCCTGATTCTTTCTCATCATGCTGAATTACTTGCACCTAAAGACATATCAAAGACATTGTCCAGCCTTGCGATGGTGCCCTTTGGAGGACAACATCAGAAGCTGTACTTCCTGTGTACTCCATGCTACCTCAGTGTGAGCCCGTGCCCTGGACTGAGCCCTGACTGGACAGAAAAATTCCTGCCTAATGAGCAGTTCACAGACTAGTTCACGCAACAGCACAAACTCATGCACTGGTCAGGACTGAATGCCATGCTGTTTCTGCCCCCTGGATGTGGGATACTAATAGGCTCCTATCCAGTTTAGCTGTAGAACTGGCTGTGGAAACACTGTAGCCTGCAGGGTGTTAGCCTATGTGGCTGCAAAAGTTTGTGCTACAAAATCCCAATGCAGCTTTGAAGATTAAAACCATTTTTGTATTACAAGATGCAAGCAGTGAATATTTTCTTATCCTAGGGCATGTAACAGAGAATCAGAATTTGGGTTCCTAATCTGGATTTCCCACAGCCCAGTCAGTCTGGAATGTGAATCCAGACCATTACAAAGAGTGGAGACTACTGAATCTAGAAGCAGATTTGTTTCAAATATCAACAACTCAATACTCAGTTTGGAGCTGCCATTCTGGACCTGTTTTATTCTGCTTTATATCAGATTGTCTCGTGTAACTCTGTTAGAGTTGCACTAGTTTTGCTCTGAGTTCAGAAGCAAGCTCTTTATTCTCTAGAAATGTAAATGTATTGGCATGAGAAATAACCCAGAATGATGCCACAGATGGTCAGAAACATTGATGACACAAACTACACATTTTTCCGTTTTTCTGCTGCTAAATAGCATGCTACTTTTCTTTTGCCTTTCCCAAAAGGGACTTGAAGATATATAATTTCTAGTGCTCCTGCCAACATCACAGGTTCACATAATGCCATGAGCTATTCCCACTAGAAGAGCTAGGAACAAGATAATATGAAATTGCAAGCAAAGAGCTTTTTTTTCATGGGGTATCAGTTTTAATTGGCCTCAGTGCTGGCCTCATACAGAATAATAGAATAGTTTTAAGTTAAATGATTGGCAATTTAAACAGCGTGTCATCCCCAGTGCTACCTGTTGGACAGTTTATTACATGGTTTTGGCACATCTTTGCCTCTGAGGAATGGTATTCTATATTTTAAATTACTTTTTTTTTTTCTTAATGGCACCTCTTTCATTTGCTCCATAGACCTATTAGGAAAATGGCAACAGGTATGATCCTTGCAGGTATGGCGTTTGGACTTGCAGCTGTTCTAGAAGTCAAAATAAACGTAAGTATAGCACAAGGGATTC